GCGACAACGCACTTGTAACTCCTGAGTTCAGGTGTCCATGAGCGGTGGTAGTCACTTACTATCAGGTGACCCGTCTGATCATTTGCCACCTATGCCATAAGAAAATATAGTATTCAAGTTACGAAATCATGCTTTAGAGATAAAATTCGAATCGGATTTGTAATAGTAAGTTCGCATACTTGCACAAATCCATACTATCCATACTAATTTTATCTGTGTGTCTGTCTGTGTGTTACCTCTTCACGCTTAAACCGACGAAACGATTTAGATGAAATTTGGTATAGAGATAGTTCGATTATGTGAAACGACGTTTGTATGGGGAATCAATAATCGCTGAACTGATTCAGATGAAATTTGGTATGGACATAGTTTGATTCTTGATAAAGGACATAGGCTACAGGTATTAGAAAAATAACATACACGCAGGCATAGCCGCGGGAAAAAGCTGGTATAGAATGAAACTGTCAATTTTGACACATAACGTCATCATTGGATAATGTCAAAAGCTCCACATTTCATAGCATCGTTATTTGAGGAATTAAAAGTTTTAAAGATTTCTTTTTAAATTTAAATAGAGTGATGCCACAGCCTGACAGAAAACCAGAGCGTTCAGAAATTTCTTCGTTGCTGTTTTCAATTCAATGAAATACATTTAGATAATTACAAAAGCGTCTAAATACAAAAATTTAGTTTGGCAAGGTATAATTCAAATTTTTATAAAAGTGATTGTGTCGTGTTAGTTTGTTTTTGAAAGATCCGAGGGACCTAAGTAACCTTACACTAAGTATTCTTACAAAAAGTACGGTTTTCGATTCATAGATAAAAAAATCTTCCTATCATAACAGATAATATTGCTTAATATAGTATATTGTCGAAGCCCCAATCAGTGTTTCTTTCACATTAGGCGCCATTTCACAGCCCGCTGTTAGTATAATTGTGAACAAATATTCACAGACCTTGGACTAGAAAGCGCGTGTATGTTTCGGTGGCGTGTTTAAAGGAGGGTGTACACGGGTAAACGAAAAAAAAATACACATATATTACATACCCACTTTTATTTGTTTTATTTTATATAAGCTTGGCTTGTAACCTATATTAGGCAGAGTTTAGTTAGCATTAACATTTGACACATATAGAGAGATTTAGGTTCGGTAAGCTGCATACATATTTTTTCAATTTAATATTTCGTAAATTGAAATTGAAGTTTTTTTAATTGTAATGTTTTTTTTAATAACCTACAATAAATATCTAAGTTCAATTTGAGGTAGTTAAATATAGGTTTTTTTTCACTTTTAATTTAAGAATTTAAATAGTTAAATAAACTTTTGCAATGCCATTTTTGAATAACACTTATCATATAGGTTGACTAACGTATGTTGAAATAAGCCTCTACCAACTACTGCTAAATTTAAGTTCGCCTTTTCTAATCGCACGTCGTATCTTCATCTGAACCTCCCTTCGATGTTTCTCTTAAAATATTTTTGAATAACTTTATTAGTATGGATAAGAAACTAAAGACTACTAAAACACTGTAATTTGTTATTTTTTCTTGTATGATCTGTAAATGTAATTCCGCTTGTGTTGACAGGTGTTGTCCCCGTGTTAAGAAACTCCTGTGTTACAGTGACATCGTTCTATTTTATAAACATAAAAAGTGTCAATAAATATAAACATGATGTTAATGACATTTTTATGTTAAAAAGAAGTTTTGTGCGCTCGTGCTCGTCTCGTATGTGTGTGTATGTGTACTTATATGTGTTGAACAACCAATTCTTTTGTGGTGTGTTTGTTATGTTTGTGTTTGGTTATATATATATATGTACAGTGATTTTAGCAGGTCTACTGTGTTATCGTTAGTTAGGGCAAGTAAACGTTCTTTTATTTTCAATACAATATAACTATAAGGAATGTGTTTCTATTATACAGTGAATCCTATTCAACACACTTAAATGTGTTCATCTGTTTGTGTAATGTTATACGTAGCGCATATGTACCCGGCTTTATGCCTTTAGGCAATTGTGCACATTCTCCGTGAAGGTCGCCAGCGTCTCATTGACCCGCGTGGCTACTCAACCGGTGTTGTTTTGAGCGAATTATTTGCAATACTTACACAAGACACTGCCTATATTAATATCATAAACATCTACACGGTATACACGAGATTATTATACAGTCTTACATCTCGTATGGGCAATGTGTCAATTTGTAACGCTAACTTGAATGCGTAGATAATATTGTCATGTACTCAAGTGGAGCTGTTTATGTAGTGTGTAGTTTATTGTGTCGAACTTAGATTTTTTATGATATAGGGAGCAATCGCGCAGTTACCTCATGGCAAGCGAGTACCGTCGCCCATGAACGCTTGTAACTCAGTCCTAGTCACAAGTGAGTTGCCGCCCTTCGAGTCCCCCCTTCAGGGAGAGGGTGGATTTAGGCTGCAATAACTCCACTCACTCAATGAAAAAAGACGAAAGAATTCCAGAATGCTCGTTTGCCACCCTATACGTATTATCGATATATGTATCGATATATGTATTTCCGCTATGAAAATTTACGATTAAATTTTGAGCATTTCCAGGAAATAATCTTCTGGAGTTTTTTTTATATTTTTAACTATATTTAGCTTCAGTGCCACATCTTTTACGCTCCCGTCTGACAAAACCAACGAATAAAGATAAATCTTTTTATTGTCCAAATGCATCCTTTTGCAGCCTTTGAATTTCCAATCCAAAGCTCTACTCGGTGCGAAAAATATTTTTAACCCACTGACTTATTCCTAACTCATACAGTAGTATACGCTAGCATGTCTGTTGGGGGCCCTGGGCACTGGGGCCCCTACATCCTTGACTCAGCCCTATTTTGTTAGAGTGAGTGAGAGATTGATAGATAGAAAGTATTTAAGTGTTTTGAAATAATTATGTTTTTGTGTGATAAATATCGATACTATCGATGGTGATTCGGTAGGATTAAGGAGGCTCCTATTGATCGATTGGCCCCTGGGCAGTGGGAAAGAGGGGTTTGAGTATACGCACAGTACACAGTTTCTCATTATCATTTGTTATGTAAAAAATACACAATAGAAATTATCACATATAGGAGCCGGTGTTATCAGAGACGTTCATACCACCACACAGAACAGATCATTGACTCTAATTAGGGTTGCTAATTTCCAATTGAATAATATGCATTAATAAAAAAATACACTTGGAATATTAATATAGAGGCACGCACTGTGTTCCGTGTGCGCTTCTAGAAGACTGTGACCGAAGGGTGACGGTCTTCGGTGAGACGGGTCAATTTGCCGTTTTGGTTAACCCGTCTTAACCAAAACGGCAAATTGACCCGTCAATGCCTGTTGGGGTGGCGGAAGAATGCAATTGCGATTCTGCTCCCCCGGCCACTGGCAAGGAGAGGAACACCGGGTTGGTTTTTAGTAGGTAAGAGTCCGAAAGACCCCTTCGGTTTCCCCCATTGGGCGCAGGAAATCCATGAGGAACTGCCAACCCGTTAACAAAAAAATGTTCCAAAAGTTTCAGAAAATTTCTGGAACTTCTGACAGAAATCAACCTTGGAACTTCTGACAGAATTCAACCTTTGATCTTCGACCGCTATCTTCGGTTATGTATACATAAAATATTTATTATAGACACTCATTAATAAAATTATAAAAAAGGAATAGTCTACTTTGTAATGCTTTAATCACATGTTAAAAGTTCCTTGCTTGAACCTCCATGGTAATAAATTTGGATGTATCTTTCACACACCTGTAAATTTTTCCTCACGTACATGCTAACATCATCTTGAATGTAATAGTTCTTTGGACACGTATGAAGCGAAAGATGAGACTTTGGAAATCTAGTCACCCAGGACTTGTCTTTGTTTTTGAAGTGATAATTTCTTTTGGGAGGGTAAACCGTTTCGTTACGTAACGCGTTAGCGTTAGTCTGTCTGGCTTCCCTTTCTCTCATTATGCATATTCTAGAATAGTCATACAATATGTTTTGATCGAAATCAAATGTGGTTTGCTGTATGAATATTTAATTATTCTTCTACATTTTTTCCCACTAAAACTACCCATGAATTCATCTCTTTACAGTCTATTTAATCATCCAAAGCTTGCCTGTAAGAAATGGCTTTTTAGCGATAAGGCCGCCATTTGTACATGGTCATTAATTTTATGTACAATGTACTGAACTGATGTACAATAAACTTTATTCTATTCTATATTTTGAATTTATTCTCTTTGTACTTAGTTATAAATAAATACGACTTATGTGTCTTAGAAGAATATGAAAAATCTATTGAAGAATATTTATTGAATGAATCTAAGTATAGCCTAGTAGCCGTGTCCTTGGCTGTACTACTGGTAACGTGTTTGCGTGTGTGGTAACGCAGTTTCTCTAAGATCGGTTAATTAGTTTAGATTTTTAAGTGTAACTAACAAATAAACTGATTTTCGTGTTAGTAAAATAATAGTTAGGATATTAACTTAGAATTCTGTCCTCAAACATTAAGTGTTTTGTAATTTAAAAAACAACATGAATTTACTTCAGAATAAAATTATTATTTATTTATTTAGTTATTGAAATACGACTGAAAGAATAATTTTATGCTGAACTAGAGTTAATTGAGTTTTGTGTCAGCCCTAAATATAGAGCCGCGTTCTCAATTAGCGATAAGCCAAACGACCTAATTTGGATAAACAGGGTTTATATGCCGCTGAAAACTTACAATTTTACTATCAACTACGTAGTGATTTTTTTTTAAACTGTTTTTATGAAGATTAAGTTACTAGGTTAGATTAGTATAATTAAATAATTGATAGTTTAAATACGTAAGCTTTTGTAACTAGCCAAACTAAACAGTAGATTTTTTTTTTCTATTAGTTCAAAAATTAAGTAAAAAAGTAACAAGTAAGTAAGTCACATATGCTTCGGCACACGCTTTTTAGGTATGAAAAAAGACGGTAATCCTGAATTTGTCTGATTACCCTCATCAGGATGAGGGTAATCAGACAATGACTGCACGGATGGCGTAGTGGTTTAAGCGGTCGCCACGCCGCTTACTACTACGCTGAGTGTTGTGGGTCCGATCCCCACACGGGACATCACTTTGTGTGATCCACAAATTGTTGTTCTGAGTCTGGGTGTTCTTTGTGTTCCTTTCATGTATGTTTGTAAAGTCCCCCGCGACACAGTATATATTACTAATGCGGGAGTTGTATTTTAAATAAAGAAAGAAAGAAAGAAATTAATCAAATTATTTTGTTGTCATCGATCCTTAATAAGTGACGTTTTGAAGTAAGTCAAACTCAGTGGGTCAGAGTCAAAAAATTCCGTTACATACAATACAGCGCATACAATACATACAATTAAACGCCACAGGCCTTACTCAGTTTTATTTTTCTTTTTACATCAATATTATTGCTCCGATTTATCACAATACCGCCTTTCTACTTTTCCTTAAGTTTACTTAAGGAAAATCAGAATGAATGTGACGCACAATAAAGAATGTTCGATCTTATCTGAAGTACCTATGTGAGTATAAACACCACCATAAGCAGTGGTCTAGACATTGATTTTATTTGTTTGCTATGTTTTGACGCCTTAATTAAAAACATTACATATATACACATGTTGTCGAATGTACAAAAAAGTAAGTATTCTTTGCTTTGTTGCTTTATTCCCGGGGGATAGTAAACCATAATTACGGGTGATTAAATTATACCAACCGTGGGAGAGTCATGTTCATGTTATATGGGCCACACTCGTACGGAGTGATACCTCGACCTCACAAAAAGCCGGTCACCAGAGCTTACACCCTCCTCAACCCCCTCTGTTTCTGGGGGGCGGGGGACAGCAATTCACTCGTGACTCTTAAGTTGCAGGTGTCACTTACCATCAGATGTTCCAACTGCTTATTTGGACCCAGTGTCATAATAAATAGAATAACAATGCTCACAGAGGGCCGTCTCATTCCAAGCTATGCGGAGCCTGTAACTATGGTAATCAGACTGCTGTGAAACATATTTATTTATTTTTCTGCCTCTTCTCTTCTTCTTTCTACAATATCATAGACAAACTAGCTATTAACAGTTAGGAGTAAAAGTAACAAACTAACGACTAAAATAGCTTTCACCCGCGGCTCCGCTCGCGTGTATGTCGGTTATCGCTGTAAAAAGTAGCCCATGTTACTCGCTGATAATGTAGCTTTCCATTGGTGATAGAATTTTTAAATCGGTTTTGTGGTTTAGGCGTGAAAGCATAATCGTAACGCAATAAAAACGTAAATTAACCTATGAAACACTTAGCAGTTTATAAAAGATTGAAGAATGCTTTGTGTTATTATTTTATTGGTTATTTAGCGAATCAGTGAAATGTTTTTTTTTCTAATTTATTCAGACTACCATCCTTATCTTTTTTTGTTCTTTGTGAGGGCTACGTGCCATATTGATCAATAAAATAGACAAAAACTAACACTCATATAAATATCAAAATAACTGTTGACCACGAAGCTACCTAAAAGCAAAAACTAAATAAACTAAACTAAATACTGAACTATTATATTATACTTTAGCTTACAGATATAATAAATATTTAATTTAAAATAATAATCAGACACAAACACGTGTACCTACTTAAAACAGCCAAATTAAATTCTTCACATCTCTAAGGGTACATTATACAATTTAAGAATTTGAGTACACACACTACACTCACACATTCTTTCATCCGAATTTACAGACATGTACTTATCCACTTCTGCTCTGTGGCTAACACCCAACCTCAAGATCCGTTCGTAAAACAATAATACATACACAAACATAGCACATACATGTCTGTTAACATACACCGAGCCTACTATAAACACAAATAATATACCACATTACACTTCTAGCGTTTACTTGTGTCAATGTCAATTTTGACAACCGATTATAAAAATAACCTCAGATATCTCACACACGGCCGTCTGTCCTGAACTAGGCAGATCTTAGACAGAACCAGACTACTGATGAACATGTTTATATTATATTTATAATTATGTAGATACATATTAAAGATAAAAACAGCGTGAGGGGTCTATGGACCCCCGGTCGGAACGAAGTTCCTTTCGCTTTTTGGTAGACGTTTGCCATACAGTCATTATTATAGATGTTTGCTATACAGTTATATATTAAAAAATATCAAGTTAAAAGAGTTAAATTGAAAAAAATATGATAAAATATATTTATTATGTATAAAATAAATAATGATAAATTAAACACTGAATGTCCTTGGACAAGAAGTGTCGGAAAAAATCTTGTTATACATTTTTCATGTTTGATAAGGAACTTCGTTCCAAAATTTACACGTGCTCATCTCATATTTGTCCGGGGTGGGAATTGATTCCACGACCTGTTGCTTAGCAGTTAGGATCTGTAAACTATTAGACCAACAAAGTTAGAGTAGAAGGTATTCATTTGTGCTAAAACGTGTTCTATCTTTGATGCTTAGAATCTGTTGCAAGTCATCGCCTCAATGTGGCTTCTGATGAATGAAATCCGGCTAAAGCCTCAATCAATGTTTATCTTTACGGTTTTAATTTACCTTTTTAATTATTATGAGGTCTGTGACCAAAACCTATGTCAAAACTAATATGAACATCAAGGTCGCACTATACTATATTAATAAACATTATGATGTCATCGTCAAAAATTTTTATACCTACAACAAAACAATTGAAATAAAATCTACTATTGATGTTATCATGTGAACTCAGTTTAAATGAACTTGGCTATGTTGATCGGAACGTTGCTTGCTAGTCACTCGCGACATCTAAACGAGAGCGGACGCTGCCGCCATATTGTTTCGTTTCCCGCCCATTATCTGACTGTTGTCTGTGGTTTAGTGTTTTTCTTTTTACTTTATTAGGTAAGTAATAATTTAATACATATCAGTGCAATATAATTTAAAAAGAAATTAATCCTACGTATATGAAAACACTTCAGTCTACATATTTATTGAATTTATTCTACCCTCAGATAATTAAAATAATAGGTGAATATAATAATAAACGTAGATATATAATATATTTATTGATATTTTATTCTTAATGTACTGGAAATACCTATTTTTGTCTTTATTTTGGCACATATTTACTTGATTTTTAAATGTAGTTAAAAAAAAACTACATTTCAGATTTAAGAAAATTATTATCATTTAGCAATTTATTTTGTCATTTAAGATTCGTTGCCTCAGTTTGAAATGGTATACCTAATAAAAAATATCATATTTTAAATGGTGACTGTGAATTTATTAACAACCGTCGCTCATAATGGGCCAAACAATTCCACTTTCCATAGCCTTATCAACAAAGTCAAACCACAATCTAAATGTTTAAAATTAGAATTCGATGTTTTTGTATTCGTAAGCGAATAGTAATGTGTAACCAGGGACTTAATTCCGATTGAGTGACCGTTTTCTAGTAACCCATTAAATCGTAACCACAATTAATTTTATTACAAAATCAAAGATATTACTTTTAAATTAATGGCTATGTTTATTTTAGAAGTTTTCTCAACAATTATTTTACAATGTCCTTTTTTAAACGTAAACGTATAGAAACACGGTAAAATTTCTTTGACGGTTTTCTTTCTCAAAATTAAAAAAAAACAATTGACAACAAATAATACCGTGTCTACCTACGCGGTTTTATAACCACCTAACACCTACCTTTCAAATTCTTGTCCCTTATTAATACTTAAAATGATATTATAGCAAATGCAGTGTGATAACATAGCTTCTTCGTAATGACCGTATTAGGTATATGATTTCAATGAGAGTTAGCCAGTTCTTAGATCGATATAAACGCGTAGGTAAGTTATGCCGGTCAAGGAAACGAATGATTTATTCATGGCACAAAACAGTTATTAAGTTCTTACTATAGATCGGAATCTTGGGTGCTATTACTATCAAAAGTGTGGATATAACCAAAATTTTTCGGGAATTAGAATTCTGAATGATAATGATTCTTGTTCTTCTATACAAGGTTTTTTTTTTCGTAAATAATTCATACTTCATGCAATAAAAAGAAATATGTCAGGATTTTTTTAATAAGTAAATGAAACAATCATTTAACAGATACTTAAAGTTTATTTTTATAAAAAAATTATACGTAGTATAAAAAGTCCATTTTTTTTTTGCAAATACCAACAATAAACCATCTAAAACAATATAATGTTGCTTGGCAAACCCAATATCAGGACAAACTAGTTTGTTTAAGCCAAACCGGTTTATTAACTAGATTTTTAAACTACACTAGTATATCTTGACATGCATAAGGTTGGATACATCTGTTTAGCCTAGAACAAATTCAGTTTGGTATGAAATCGGGTTTGACTTTGCAGTCAGTTTGGTGCAGTAGGTAAAATAATAATATAATAGTATTATCCGATGAAAAACTTTGGGATATCTAAAATTATTTCCAGTACCAATACGATTAAAAAAAAGATCGATTTCATATTTAGAATGTTGAATTATTTTCTGTTGCACTTTTAAGGATGACCCTATCAATAGATAGAGACCTTTGCATCGCCTAGTACTTGGGTTGTGGAGCTCTGATGGCAGTCACTCCTTTGCTCTCAGATTGAAGTTCAGCAGTATCGTAGTAGACTTAAGCTATATAACATCACGCTATCATCAATAGGAGCCAAACACAAATAAAAAAATGTTGCTTTTTGCGAAGAAAATTTATTTTGATTGACGCAGACGGAGTTTCGCGTATCAACTGGTGTGTTATTGCTAGTTTTTTTGTAGCTTGTCGCTGGCCTCACGTCGCCCCTCCTTGAGAATATAGAAATAAAATTTAGTGATACTAATAGTTAGTTAGTTGGCCAGCTTGGTATAGTAGGCCAAATGCTCCTTTATAAGGAGAGGTCTATATCCAGCATGAAGCTGAAGCTAGCCGACGGAGCTAGCCGACGGACATACCCTGCGTAGTATATTGCACGCCCCTTAAAATGAGTTTTTTTAATCAACAAAGAGAGCAAACAGTCGTTTTCCTGCATCCAATTACTATACAATGAACCAGGGCCTTTTAAGATTAAAAAAATATATTTAAACAATCATATTAAGTGAATAAACGCTGTTTATTAGCGAAAACTCCAGTTTTTCGATGGTAAATTTGTCCTAACTTTTTTCACAAAAATAGGATTGCTTTCAAATTTTATATAGTTAATCCCTAAGTATCAAACAATAATAGTAAATTACTTTTACGTTGGCAGAAAAGTTATAATTATTATTATTAAATGAACAATCAGACAGCAGGTTTTTGATCGAAATTCAGTATTTTTTGTTAGTTACGTACGATTACCCATTAATTGTGTTATTTCTGTTTTTTCTGCCAACGTAAAACCTATTTAAACTAAACTATACAAAATTAGGAAGCAATCCTATTGTTGTGAACAGAGTTACATCAGGCTTTTCGTCGAATCGGTCAATTTATCGTAAATCATGTCTGATTGTTCATTTAATAATAAAAAATTTAACTTTTCTGCCAACGTAAAAGTAATTTGGTATTATTGTATGATACTAAGGGATTAACTAGTCAAAATAAGAAAGCAATCCTATTTTTGTGAATCGAGTTACAGCAGGTTTATGATCGAAATTCAGTATTTTTTGTTAGTTACGTACGTTTACTCATTAATTGTGTTAATTCTATTTTTTCTGCCAACGTAAAACCTATTTAGTTTATTGAACGACACTTAGGGATAAACTATACAAAATTAAGAAGCAATCCCATTGTTGTGAACAGAGTTACATCAGGCTTTTCGTCGAATCGGTCAATTTATCGTAAGTCATGTCTGATTGTTCATTTAATAATAAAAATAACTTTTCTGCCAACGTTAAAGTAATTTGGTATTATTGTACGACACTTAGGGATAAACTATATAAAATTAGGAAGCAATCCTATTGTTGTGAACAGAGTTACAGCAGGTTTTTCGTCGAATCGGTCAATTTATCGTAAGTCATGTCTGATTGTTCATTTAATAATAAAAAAATAACTTTTCTGCCAACGTAAAAGTAATTTGGTATTATTGTATGATACTTAGGCATTAACTGCACAAAATTAGGAAGCAATCCTATTTTTGTGAAAAAAGTTAGGACAAATTTACCATCGAAAAACTCGAGTTTTCGCTAATAAACAGCGTTTATTCATTTAATATGATTGTTGATTTTGAGGGACGTGCCATATACTACGCAGGCTATGTCCGTCAGCTAGCTCCGTCGGCTAGCTTTAGCTTCAAATATCCAGCAGTGGACTGTTAAAGGTTATTGATGTGATGTGATACCAATAGTTTTATGTACATATACAATACATATACCACAATACATACAATCAGGTGAAGCATCTGATCAGTTGCCCCTACGCCTAGGAAAAAATGATTTTAACTTTGAATATCATGTTAAGAATGTGGAAAAATTGAAGAATTATAAACTATTGTAATAAAATAGTTTTTACCGTCCTTATCAAATGAAGTATGACATAAGAGTATTTCAATCTTTATTTATTATCTGTTATCTATGTAGTTGCGTATTATTTTGTAATTGTTAAATAACACATTAAAAGTAAATGATTTGACAATTGTTAACTATGGTGTCACAAGTTATTACTTCACACAAATTTCTTTTAATATAATTGTTAATATAAATCTTTAGTAATATGATTACAAGATAAGATTAGATAAGAATCTGAGGTCAAAAATACACGTGCCTGTGACCTGCGTCACCGGGAATTTTATAAAAAACTAGCTGACCCGGCAAACGTTGTTTTGCAAAAAAAAAATTTAGGGATGGGTCACCCTTACCATTTATGAGTATGAAAAATAGATGTTGGCCGATTCTCAGACCTACCCGATGTGCACACAAAATTTCATGAGAATCGGTCAAGCCGTTTCGGAGGAGTACGGGAACGAACATTGTGACACGAGAATTTTATATATAAGATGACGTCAAGCAATAAATCTGAAAATTACTGCCTTTTAAGTACTTTTTCGTTATTTAGTTATAAAACTACATCATTATTATTATGTTAATTACATTTATTTATCATCGGAACCATGTCTTGATGAATGCAAAATTCCGCGTTAACATCGCCAATGTCGCGGGTTTAATCAATTCCCGCTCAAGTAAACATTTCTGTGCATGCATATTTATGTTTGATTTGGTCTGGGTGTTTCTTTGTATAATATTTATGTATTTACAAAAAAAGGTAGATATATGTATTTATGTCAGTTGTTTAGTTACCCATCATACAAGCTCTGCTTAATTTGGGACTAGATGGCGTTGTGTGAACGTAGTAGAATATTTTCATTAGGTACTATTTTAATAAAAAACTATAAATCTTAGAACTACTACCTCTTAAGTACCTACCTACTTCTTCTTTATTTAGTTATAAAAACAACTTTATTATTATGTTAATTTCATTAATCTACCATCAGAACCGTCTTGACGAAAGCAAACTTCCGCGTTAACATCAAAACATTTTATTAAATAAACTTATTATGACGCTTTAAAAATTCTGCTTCGAGTATCCATTCCTCCTACAAAAACTACGACAAATATTAATATCATCATCAACAGCCTTTACTAGTCCACTGCTGGACATAGGCCTCTCCTTAGGAAGGTAATAATATAGATGTGTTGTTGTTCTTTTTTGTATTGATGATCATGAAAACTTTTGTGCTTCAACTCTTCATGTTTGTCAATGCCATGCTGTCCTATCGCTAGTTTCGCCCCTTTCTGCCTGACTATGATAAAGAAGAGTTATCTTTTTCGAGTGTATATGTGTTTCTTTGGTATTCTCTGTAGTTGAGAAGATTCATTCTGGTAACTATGAACTAGTGTAAAATAAAACTTCAAATTAAAACGTATAGTATGGTCTTCAGAGAATACAGAAAGTAATCCTCTGTCAGAAACTTGATCATTAATCATTGCCTGTTAATGTTACAGATACAAAATGGCCACTACAGCGATGGACACCAACAAGAATGGGGGCACACAGACCGTTATTGAGAAGGCACCCTGGTAAGTTAGTTATACCTATAGTACCTGGATGACCGGAATTTCTAAAAATGAAACCTAAAAGTGATCTAGCTAAGATCGATTAATCGCTCACGAAACCGTTGGAGCCGTTTCCGAGATTTAGAATATATAAATATACATACCTGTACAAGAATTGAAGAAAGAAATTAACACAAAATGTAATAGTGGTATTAGGTGTCAATAAACCTATTATTATTATATAGTATAGGGTGACGAGACCCGTCTAGGGTGACACGGGTCAATGCCTGTCTGCCTGTATAAATTATTAAAAATTTTGTCTTAAATTTTATTTTTGTCTTAAATATTAATATAGAGGCACGCATAGTGTTCCGTGTGCGCTTCTAGAGGACTGCGACCGAAGGGTAACGGTCTTGGGTGAGACGGGTCAATGGGCCGTTTTGGTCGAGCGTGGCGGAAGAATGCAATTGCGATTCTCGCCATTGGCAAGGACAGGAACACCGGGGTGGTTTTTAGTCGGTAAGAGTCCGACAGATCTCTTCACCACCCCACAATGGATGGGAAGCGCGAAAGACGCGAAGGACATGCATGAGGATCTTCCACCATGTCTACAAAAAACAACTACTCATTTAGAATTTGACGGCTTTAGTTTGGTGGTTAAAGGTACTGTCTGCTGAATCCAGAATACTAGGTTCGTTGATACCTAGAACATATAACTCTATGATAATCACGATCATTTGCAGTGTGTCTAGGTGTAAATTTTATTGTAATACTAGCTGACCCGCGCAACTTCGTCTGCGTCTCTCAATAGTAATAAATTTTCTCCGTTTTTGAAACATTCTTCATTGTTGCTCCGCTCCTATTGGTCTTAGCGTGATGATATATAGCCTTCCTCGATAAATGGGCTATCTAACACTGAAAGAATTTTTCAAATCGGACCAGTAGTTCCTGAGATTAACGCGTTCAAACAAACAAACTCTTCAGCTTTATAATATTAATATTAGTATAGATTATTTACACACATCGCACACACAGGTAGAGCCTGTACTATGGTAACCAGACTGCTGATTAACATACTTACATATATATATCTAAATTATCTATAATATGTGTGTATTTTGTAATAAATAAGTATGTTTATCAGCAATCAGGTTAACATTGAACTAAGCTCTGACTAGTTTGTTGATCACAAACTAAACAGAGCCTCAGAGACAGATTCAGTCAAAAAAAAAAATGGAAGAACGTTCACGCGTATCCGTCCTGTGATGGGAAATTGCATAAACATAAAATGAACTAATAATTCATCGTCCTACCCTTTACCTAAATTTAGCTATTTGGGGTCGGTGCAATGAGTTTTATTCCTCCATTTACCTTGACCACTCGAAATTCTCTTTTACACACTCCTTCATTTCATTGCGAAATGATTTTGACTTATTCTTTTATGGCCGACCACCGTGGGAATGTAATCGTTCTTTGTACATCATATTAAACACTAATGAGTAAATGGGCCTTATAATAATCATCATCATCATCAGCCTTTAATAATCCACTGCTGGGCATATGCCTCTCCTTAGAAAGGAGGTCTTGGCCTTCTAGGCCACGGTGGCATAGGGCTTGCGTCAAGTTTTCCTTCTCCTTGCTGTTGTATGTACTGCGTAGTTTGCTATCTTAGTCGGCTCTTACGAGAATGAATAGGGATGGCGACACTCCGTATTCTTAATCCGTCACTACACGCACCGGACCGGACCGGTCCAATTATAGTTTTTAGTATTAATTAATGATGGCACATTGCCGTCTCACAATGCCTGAGCTACTTAATCAGGCCCTAAGTAGTATTCTAAAGAAGTATGTATATAAAAGAATATGCTTCATTGCAGTAATCATTAAATAAACGTTATAATTGCATTTCATGTTTTACGTTACCTTGAAAATGCAAGTCGTTGAGGTAATAATTTTTTCTTATCGTTGTGTAAGCCATCGGGTTGCCATACATTAGTCCTGTGTAATGTTGCTTTTATATATATTTAATGTATTTTTAACTTTTGTAATGCACACAGTCTATTGGTGTTCTATTTTTGAATTGGAACTACTATTGCGATAAATTGATATGACTGCTAAAAAGAGGGTAGTCGTAGTATTTCTCTCACTGGTTATTGTACTAGATAACGCCCGTTGTACTAGATAAACATTTTAGTGATTAGCAAATAAAAGTAGTTAAATAATATACGATAGTATGACCAGACTATTAATACTTGGTTATATTAAGTTCGCAGAACCAAGAGTATTTGCGCAAAAGAAATCGGCTGTAATTTAAACGTCGGACGTCCTCTAAATTATTCGCTAATTTATATTTCATGTGTTTAAAATTTAAAAAAATATATATTAGAATTGCTTACCGCTTTAGAGTGGTTTTACTAAAATGTATGTAGTAAAAATGCTCCTAACCGACTTTAAAAATGGAGGAGGTTCTCAATGCCACTATTTTGTGTGGTATCGTCGTTATTTATGCATCTAAAATTTGTTAATTTTTTTTTTAAGAAAACTCCCGAATTAGGAACAAGTATATACCAGTGTATCGCGGGGAACTTTACAAACATACATTGAACGTTCACAAAGAACACTCAGATTCAGAACAACAATTTGTAGATCACACAAAGTGTAGTCCCATGTGGGGATCAGACCCACAGCACTTAACGTAGTAGTAAGCGGCGTGGCTTAAACCACTACGCCATCCGTGCAGTCAATTGCTAGTACGTACGTACCTTACCATACCATACCTTGCATAGGTAGAAAACAAGGAATAAAGAATGAGGTGTTTTAAAATTTATCTCGATTAACCTTGAAGTTGGCGATACTTTTTAAAATTAACTAAAACAGATATTGTTTTCACAAGGTGAAATGCATCACAAAGAGATGACGTGCAAAAAGACTTATAAAGTGTAGGTTAACTTTAGTCTTACTGCTAAAGTCTCTCCTTTAGAAGTACCTTTTGTGTTACACGATCCAAACCTACATACGTACATAAATATTGTGTATGTTAAATACTCGGCGGCGAATAAATTATATATTTGGGTGCATTTACCCTCAAGTGAAAACGTACAATTACACAAAAATATCATTTACGTACGCACAAATATGTTAATATACATAATAATATGTGCATATTTAAAACATAGGTATATTTAGGTTTATTTCAGTGATTCAAAATAATATTTTGTAATAGGCATTTATGAGCGGCGGTATAGTCGTTTTCCATCAGGTAACCCGGCTCGTTTGCCCCCTATTCCATAAAAAAATAATGGAATTTCGAACGTATTTTGACCACCTTTAAAACAAAATAACTACAATGGTTTTGATATATTTAGTCGCTAAACGGCTATATACAAACCTTTTTTTTTCTGTGCCGCAATCCCCTCGGATACCGCCCACCGGTGGCTATTTCCATACCTAAAAATACTGTAGTGTCTTTTGCTACGTACTAAGAGGCGTGTGCTGAAGCATACGTGCCTTACTTACTTGTTACTTTTCTAGTCTTAAGAAGAAAATAATCATCAAGGTGCTTTTCAAGATTTTAATAATATAATAACTTTAATTTCACCAATATCTGTCAATAAAATATTTTTACAACAGGTCTAGAGCACACATCACACGCAATTTAAGATAAAATATTTTTTCTTTTTGAACTTATAGAAAATTATTTTTAATTAAATTAACAAAAGCGTGTCTAGTTTTTTTAACTATAAGTTATTAATAACACCTCCCGCGTTAGGAATCTATATCCTGTGTCGCGGGGGACTTTACAAACATACATGTAACAGACACAAAGAACACCTAGACTCAGATCAACAATTTGTGGATCACACAAAGTAGTGTCCCATGTGGGGATCGAACCCACAACACTCAGCGCAGTAGACAGCGGCGTGGTCGAAAGTTACATTGGCCGAAGGTACCAGGAAAGTAGGGGGAATTTAATAAAACAGGCTATCCACTTGCAGGCACGCTCAAAGTCTGTTTGTTGGACAAAAATGCTTAACACTATAGGATAGTCGTATATTGTTATCCTTTTGACGATCTTTATATCCAGATCCAATAATAATCCACATTTTGTTACGTCACGTTTTTTTATTTTACTTCATTTACCTATTTATTGTGATAATATTATGATTGTGTTGCAATGTCATTAATGTTCGTGTGCAGTGGATTTTAGTTTTTTTAAATTAAATAATAATATATTGTAACACTGTACTGTAGTTTTATTTTGCTCAAAATAAGGTTTTTTATTTTATGTTATACAAAAGATAACTCTCGGCAGCCATTTCATTTTATACGAGTAATACATGTATAGTAGTGTTGCCATTACTTAGCACAGCAATTTTTACCACAGTAAACAATTAAAATAAAAAAAAATTCTCTTCTCTTCTTTCTCTAATTCATTTATTAATTGCAAAATATATTCCATGTGTTAGGGCACTTTACAAGCATTCATATAACAGACACAAGAAACACCTAGACTTAGAACAACAATTTGAGGATCACACAAAGTGTTTTAGCGTGTGGGGATTGAACCCACAAGATTCAGCGCAAGAAGCGGCCGCCCAGTGGTCAAATCAAATAGCGGGCACTTCCTGTGTTACCCACTTCAGAGGCCCAAGTGTGAGTTTATTTTGTATCTACTCGATCATCACGGTGACCGCATCCGGCGTTGTGATTGGTCCGCACTGAAATCTCGACCAATCGTAACGCTCGCCGTCGAGAGCGAGTTGATATATGATAACTTGCACTCGGCCCTCTTTCCCTTCCCAAAATCACTCTCACAGGTGGCAGGAAACCGAGAGTAAAGATTTAATACATCGTTTTCTTTTAATTTCGGTTTAAATTTTTAGGTGAATTGAAGGATAATTGGAAGGGAAGTACGAAACAGTGTTTTCAAAAGTATTCGCTGTCGGTAACACATGTAGAGAAACACTTCCAAAGAAAATAGGATAGTTTAATAACAGAAATAATTGATGTGCCTTTTAATAAAA